TCCTTCCAGAGCAGGAAAGCTCAGCTTTTACCTGCTCATAACAATAACATCCAACTAGACCAGTGGTCAGCAAACCGCGGTTTGCCGCTCTGTTGACTAATGAGTTTGCCGACCACTGTCATATACTACCCCTTTACCTCTTTGCACACAATATGCCACAATTGCCTAATCCTCACAGCTTGCAACCACATAGTAACATTTAGTCTAGTTCAGTGGTTGGCCGCTGATAGATCATAAGGAGAAGCTTAAACAAGGAAGCAGCAGCAAATAATGAAGATATGATGCTCTCTGAAGTGGGGACCAGGTGGAGGGGAGCTATGGGAATGGCGGGGGTGGGGGGGAACAATTGTAATCATCTGAACAATAAAGATTTATTTTTAAAAATATATGATGCTCTTTCCCATTGGCCAATGACCATCCTTGTAAAGTCGATTGCTCGCCTGGCAGGGTTTGTAGAACTGGGGATGTGGCTCCCAGGCCCTAGGTGGGGGCTAATGGCATTAAGAGGTTGAGCAAGTCGCTTTGCAGTTTGTTTCCTCATCTGCCAATTAGGGATATTCTTGCTCAATCTCCTTCTACCTGAAGAGGTTTTATTCCTTCACGGGATCAGAATTTTCTCTTCCTATACTGACTGGCTAGCTCAGCATAACCTCGATGCAACCTTCACTAAAAGGGAAGAGAAATAGTCAAGCCACCTCCTGCCGATGAGTTTCCGGGCCTGGGGGCCTGGCTGAGAGGGGAGACAGGCCAGCCTTTCTTGGCCGTGGGGGCAGGGGCAGCCAGCACCTGTCTGTGAGCACCAGGGTGGGTGGGGCAGGGCCTCTGGAGAGCAAACCCTGGACATCTCCACCAGCAGGTGCTATCTGCACAGAGGACTTCTGTCCTTTACATTCCACTTAGCTCCCAGGGACAAAAGCAGGCAGCCAGGGCAGCTTCCAAGCACTCGCTATGTGTGGACTGTGCTGGCACATGAGGTTGGGGGCGTTGAGAATTTCACCAGATGTTAGACCAGCAGTTCTCAATCTTTCTAATGCCGCGACCCTTTAATCCAGTTCCTCATGTTGTGGTGACCCCCAGCCATAAAGTTGTTTTCGTTGCTACTTCATAACTGTAATTTTGCTACTGTTATGAATCGTAATGTAAATACCTGTGTTTTCCAATGGTCTTAGGCAACCCACAGGTTGAGAACTGCTAGCAGGGTTGCCTAAGACCATCGGAAAACACAGATATTTACATTACGATTCATAAGTTATAAAGTAGCAACAAAAATAATTTTATGGCTGGGAGTCACCACAACAGGAAGAATGTACAGTATTAAAGGGTTGCAGCATTAGGAAGGTTGAGAACCACTGTGTTAGACCAAATGGGTCAGAACAGACCTGGGTTCAGCCGCCTCGGTACTTGGGTTCTGGCAAGGAAAGAATTCAGAGCCAAGACCTAATCGATAAGAGAACATTTGCTTATAAAATCACGGAGGTAGGAGAAGTAATTCGTAGAAGAAATGGGCTCAGTAAGTAAGTTAGAGAGGCAAAGGAAGGGCCCTTGGAGCTTAGGAGTGAGGAAGGTAAGGTGCTGCACCTGGCGGGGTGGGCAGGTGCTGGGGGAAGGTGCTGGCAGCAGGGCAGGGGGTCTTTATTCAGTGCAGCTGGTCCTGACAGCATCCATGGCGCTGCTTGTCTGGTTTTGCTGCTTTTCTGGGCTGGAGCCGGAATACAACTGAGGCCCTGATGCTATCTCTAGGGAGGGAAAGTCAGTCGGGCTAAATGCCAGGGGAGGAGAGGTCGCCCTGGGGGCGAGGTCCCATCCTATAACTAGACACCCGGCCTTTCCACCCTGGTGACCTTTGCACTGGCCCATCGTCCTTGCTCTGGTCAGGTCAGTCTCACTGCTTCCCACCGTTAGTGGATGAGAGGACTGAGGACACACAGAACAGATGAATCCTTTACAAAGCAATGTGTCCGCACGTGCCCGGGCCTGGGTCCGTGCCAATGGCTGCAATCATTGAGTATCAGAGGGCCAAACTCGGTAGATTTCATGGAACCCCGATCAAAATCCCAGCAGAGCCGAAACCGGTTTGGCTCAGTGGTAGAGCGTCGGTCTGAGAACTGAAGGGTCCCGGGTTTGATTCCAGTCAAGGGCATGTACATTGGTTGCGGGCACATCCCCAGTGGGGGATGTACAGGAGGCAGCTGGTTGATGTTTCTCTCTCATTGACGTTTCTAGCTCTCTATCCCTCTCTCCTCCTCTCTATTAAAAAAAAATCAATAAAATATATATTTCTTAAAAATCCCAGCAGAGTATTTTGAAGAAATAGACAAGATTTTTTGGAAAATGTATATGGAAAAGCCAGTGCTCTAGAATAATCAAAACACTGGACAAAGTTGGAGAACGTACACTACCTTAGATCGAGACTCCTCATAGCCCTTGCCAGTGTGGCCCAGTTGGTTGGAGCATCGCATCCCATGTAGGTTTCGGGTTTGATTACCATTCAGGGCATGTACCCAGGTTATAGGTTCAATCCCAGTTGAGGAACATACCAATATCTCTCTCTCTCTCTCTCTCTCTCTCTCTCTCTCTCTTCCCCCCCCCTCCAATATCCTTGGGTGAGGATTAAAACAAAAGAAAGCTTACCATAAAACTACAATAACTAGGATGTTGTGGTATTGGAACCAGAACAAAGTCCCGCTGCTGGTGGCTACTAGAGTCAATTCCGTAGAGATGGGAGTGAATCTTCGTGGTGCTGTTTATTATTCAGAGGGCCAGCCGTCTGAGAGAGGGACAGGTGCAATGCCTGAAAAGACCCCTCTCACATTTCATTTCAAACCAGCCCTTCTATGGGGTTAGGGGCGGGGGGCAGGGGAGGGACTAAAACTAGTGAATTCCCTATCGTCATCCTTGCAGAGATTACCCAGAACACTGTCTCTCCTCTCAGTTAGTCCCATCCTTCATTTGCATGAAAGTGTATCTTCTTTTCTGAGTATTGGACCCATCTGGACTTTGTGGCCGCCTTATCTTTTTTTTTTTATAATATATTTTATTGATTTTGTACAGAGAGGAAGGGAGAGAGATAGAGAGTTAGAAACATTGATGAGAGAGAGTGAGTCATCGATCAGCTGCCTCTTGCACACCCCCTACTGGGGATATGCCCGCAACCAAGGTACATGCCCTTGACGGGAATCGAACCCGGGACCTTTCAGTCCCCAAGCCGACGCTCTATCCATTGAGCCAAACCGGTTTTGGCAAGGCCGCCTTATCTTTACGGTCCTGTGTTTCTTCTTACAAACCTCTTTCCTAACGTGGTGCTGTTTATTATTCAGAGGACTGGCTGTCCTAGTTATTGTAGCTTTAGTGAATTGCTACTAAACTATAATTCTGCTTCTGTTATGTGCCCTTCCCCTATCAGTATTGGTGTAAGAAGAGACAGATAGATCGAGGAAACAGAATCGAGTCCAGAAATAGATTCCCACGTATACAATCAATTGATTTCCTACAAAAGTGACAAGTAAGTGAATAGGGAAAGGGATGTTTTTCTAATGAAAGTTGCCAGAACAACTAGAAACCCACTTGAGGGGGGGGGGGGGTAAATCTTGACCCCTATTTGACTTTATTCACAAAATGAGTTTGAGATGGATCATGGACCTAAGACCCCAGAACTATACAGATTCTTGAAGAAAATGAAGACTATCTTTGTGATGTAGGAGTACGGACAGATTTCCTTGGGCAAGATACAGAAAGGAAAAAAAGTGTCTTCATCAGAATTTATCAAAAGACACCGTTAAGAAAATGAATCCAAAATCTGCAGACCTGGAAAAAAGATCTTTGCAGCTGAGGAGGGATTTTATATCCAAGACATACCGTATAAAGAGCTCTTACAAATCAACAATAAAAGTATACATATTCCAATTACAACATGGGAAAAGACCTCCACAGACACTTTATAAAGCACGATATTCAAATGGCCAATAAGGTTTTAAAAAATGCTCAACCTCATTCGTCATCAGGGAAACGGCACTTAAAACCACAGGGAAATACACCTTCATCCACAGTAGGATGGCGAAAATCAAAGGCTGATGTCCTGGTTACCCGTTGCTGCACAACCAACCACACTAAAATGCAGTAACTTACATAATAACGACCATCTTACTATCCCGCCCCCTCTCTGTGTGTTAGGGATGCAGGAAGGCCTGGGGCAGGGCTGGCCTGGGGTCTGCAGCAGCTGGGGCATCTCTCCCTGGGTTCTGTTGGGGCTTCCTGAGGTTCTGGCTGCTCCGGGGTGCCCAGACCTCTTCTCTGGAGGCCCAGGCGCCCAGATGCCGCACGACCTTTTGTGACCTAGCCTGAGAAGTCACAGTGTCCCTTCCACCACACACTGCCAGTCAGGAGTGAGCCAACCCCTCCACCCCCCACCACCATGGGAGGGGAGCGGAGCTAGGCTGTCTCCTGAGGTGGAAATGGCAGCCTTCTAGAAGAGCGTGTGGGGGAAAGGACATTATCACAGCCATTTGGGGGGACACATCATCGGTGGTGAACAAACTCGGAGAGAGACACGCCAGCCTCTGAGCCACACGGAAGCCCAACCTTAGCATGAACTGCGAGGGGGGGCCCACCGGAGGATTTTCGGCGGGAGAGTGAAATTGTCCGCCTTTAAAAATAGCTGCGCAGATAAAGGATCTTTGGAGAGGGTTTGGAAGTAAAGATCACTTAGGAGACGTCCAAGCGCCAGGCTGGGGTCCGCGCCGGCCCAGAGGAGGCGGTCGGGGGAGCACCGACCGCCAAGTGTCTGCCTGTCCGCCCGGCCGTTCTCTCCGCTGAGGCGGGGAACGATGAAGTAAGTTTGTTTTCACCTCTGGGGCTCGGAAGGCCGGGGTGGATGGAACCCGGAGGACAAACACTGAGACGAGAACAAGCAGCATTGGAAAAGGTGTGTTCACGGTCCCGCTCGCTCTCCCCCTTTGTGCCCAGGTCTCCGACCGAGGCGCGTACGCGCGCGCGCACGCGCA